TCTTTCTTATACAATAATAAAATTATTTAAATTATTAATTAAAATAAATTTATGATATTATTAAAAACTATTAATTATCTCAATTATTTAGTAATAAAAATAATTAATTAAACACAATTTTTCAAAATTACATGACAATGACAATTCGTATTTTAAGTAAATTTGAGATAATGTATTTACAATTTACTTTTTTATTTTATAAAAAAATATTAAATATATTTATATTTATTTTGAATTAATTACATCAAGACCCATGTAATATTGAATACCATTTTACCTCTTTCTTTATCAATTCGTACATTTTGACCTCCCTTGCTTACAAAAATATATCATTTTCATCTTTTTCAAACTCCTTTAAAAGAAGTGTGTCTGTATGATTTTTATAATTAAAAAGAAGTGTGTCTGTATGATTTTTATAATTAAAATGGCAAATATGCAATGATGTAGCCAAAAAATTTATTCAGCAGGTCATTTAACAAATCATCATTAATATCATTACGTAAGAGCTCTTAATTTTACATAATTTATCAAATATCCACTTTCACATAATACATTATATTGTCAAATACACTGACAAAATTAATTTTAAAATGTCAAATTATATGTCAAAAACAAAACTTGAGTCATTAATATTACTATTTTCACAAGAATCAAGCAAAAAGCTACAGTTTTAACCAGTAATGGTAACTGAAATTAATTTAGGCCAAATTGCAAATCTTCAATTGAGTACTAGAAACAAAGCTTAAGTTTTGTGTGATTTAAGTTGGCTTCGCTCCTTAATCCTGTTAGTGATTGTGTTAGATTTTTGTAATTGGCAATCTTATTTGACAAAACTTATTTCAGTTGTAATTTTATTTGCTCTTCTGTTTCAGTGAAGTTATGAGTGTTTAGATGCAAGTCTAACCCGAATTGTGCGGAGTTTGTGATCTTAATATTTTCATGTTTGCTACTTCGCTGACTATGTATGAGAATTGAGCTACTCGGTTAGCCCGTGGGGGTCCAGGAGGCAACGCCTAGGCGGGGTCGAGGGATAGCGTCCCTGAAGCAAAAAGCAAAAATGCAGTCGAAATTATTTGACTGCTCGAGTGGTCATTTGCGTGCTCAAGCGAAGAAAATGATCATCTAGTACTTTTGCAGAGCGTCTGAACTTCTGGGAAGAAAGTTTTACGGCTCGAGCGGTCAGCCTATACGTTTTGCACCGCCTTTAGTCACATCACTCGAGTAGTGAAATGTGTGCTTGAGCGGTCTATGCAATCCTGTTTTCTTTAAACACTACTACAATTTCAACTTTTTGCGACGGTAAAATGCCGTCGCTAATACTCCTAATGCGACGACAAATGACTTTTTGCGACGGCAAGAGGGGGGTCGCAACTGGGAGCGTTGCAAAAGAGTTTTTGCGAGGACACAGTGTCGTCGCTAATGTTTTGCGACGACATTTTTGCCTTTTGCGACGGCACTTTGCAGTCGCTAATAATGTTTGAAATTCCTTTACTTTTTGCGACGACACTATTTTACCGTCGCTAAAAATGTTATTTGAGACGGCAAAAAATACCATCGCTAATAGTCTTTTTTTTTGCAACGGCAAGAACACTGTTTTTGCGACGGTGTGGTGCCGTCGCAAAAAGTATTAAAAATATGAAAATTTTTATTTTGCAACAGTGTACTGCCGTCGCAAAAAGTATTAAAAAATAATAAAATTTATATTTTAAATAATAAAATTTCTATTTTTTGCGACAGTTTAATGTCGTCGCAAAAAGTAAAACCTGTAACAAAATCAATAAAAATATTAAAATTTTCTGTTTTTGCGACGGTGTAGTGTCGTCACAAAAAAGAAAAAAACATCCTGCGATAAAATTATTAAAAATATTAAAATTTCTCCATAATAATACAAAAATTCCTATATAAAAATAACAATTTCTCCATAATAAAATATTCATCTATTCATAATTACACATCAACAAAATTATCCCACTACATAATATTCCATAATACATATATAATGTTTAAATACATGATTTTGTTCATAATTCAAAATAACATAAACCAAAATTAAATGTTTTTCTCATCATTATTCGTAGATAACAAAAACAAAAGTTAGCCACATTCTCCACAGGCATGCATTCCACAAGAAGCGCACTCCTATATGGGAAATATCTAAAAAATAAAAATAAAAATAATTAATGACAATATAATTATGTGTTAATGTTAATTACAAAAAAACATAAAAATTTAACTACTATAGCATCAAATATAATATTTTTTTTGTTAGTCATCAAATCCCATATGGATAATTAAACATCTCAATCAAATACAGAAATAAAAATTTAACTACTATCTCAATCAAATAGACATTCATTCCATCAAAACCGCCAAACAGCTTTTTGCAAACTTCACAACCACCGTAAAAGCTACAATGACATTCATTCTAATTTTTGGCCTAATTCTTTTTTTGATGATCGATTCAACCTTATATTTCAACTCACCAACAAGTTTAGTGATGAATGTAGCGGCCCTATTGTTCTAATGGAGAAAAAAAACCTAAGATTAGCTTTCTAGGAAATTTCCAAATGAACCAAACAAAAAGGCATCAAGGAAGTTTCACCTGTATATACTAAATGTGCGTATACATATATATGAACTCTCCAGATAAAGGTCCTCCATCTCTTTAACCTAATCAAACAAAATCTTTAATGATAATTATTTAACACAACCAAACACAAAATCCATCAATCTTTTCCCAAACACACATTAATGTGTACTAATTGGGCGTTGTTTTTTTTATTTAACACAACCACATAATCCATGCCTTCAAAAGAGTGCCCTTTCTGTCCCCAAGTACACCACATTTTTTTTTTTGATCAACTTTTGTCCCCAAATGCACCACATCAATCAAAGAGGAGCAACATTCCAATTCTTGTTGCTTAGCTTACCAAAAAACTCCCTTTTCACCCACTAATAACTTCTGCTAACATTCTAGACAACCCCCATAATGCCCCAGAATCAAGGCCCACAGATGACTAGCAATACAAAAACATACCAAGTTGAAACAGACTCCCTGCTTCTTTACAAATGTAATACAAAAAGATCAGACTTTTTCCTCCTAATGAGATTATCAATGGTGAAAATCCTTCCATGTGAAGCCTCTCAAGTTCCCAACCAAAGACAGCATCCCAACAACTCCTCATAATCAATCACAAAATAAAGTAATGTTAATTCTACTAGGATTAGTGAGATATATATTCAAGCCACTTAGAGAAATTTGAATTCTGGTAAGTGACAACTGACAACACAGCAATAGAAAAATAATTTCACAGAAAAGGGCCTCATGAAAACATTCACAATATAATAACCATATAATTTGAAGGCCACCACTTTAGTTCAACAACATGAATAGCAGCAAGTTATTCTAATCTATCCAAGCCATAGCATCCATTAGTGTACTAAATTGATATTGTGAAATGTGAAAATAAAAAATAAGATTTAAACAACTTCCTAGTAAGTGATAGTAATACAAAATAAACAATAAAACACAATTCTACCTCTGTTTCATAGGTTGCCTTGCATTGTAAATTGAAATCCACTGTGTGGTAGGAACTCCTAGACGAACCTTCTTCTTAGGGAGCCCATCCTCATCCTCCTCAATATTCAATCTACTTCGTTTTTGACCAACTTGATATATAATCTACCAATGATTACACAAATAGGATTTGTTAATAGCAAGGTACACAAGAAAAGGAATCATAGTCATAAAATTCAAAGATCACCAGAATCACCTTTTGAGCACCATCAGTGTTTATTGGCCTTATAGCAGGATTTGATCCAATCAGTCCCTCGAACAGGGAGATTAGCTTGGAATAGTTAGGCTCTTCATCAAATTTCATGTTATGAAATGATGAAGGTATAAATAATTTATGCATTCAATTATGTAATTAAATCTTATACTTTCCATTAATTGGAAATTTTTTTTTCACTCTCGACTTTTTTGAAATTCTCTCTATTTTTGAAACCCTTCATAATTTGAAAATTGAAATCAATTTAGAAAATTCAAAAGTTGAGAAGAAAAAAAATCCATAAATTGAGACATAAACATCAACTCTAGGTTTCTTTTTATAATATTATAGATAGATAGATATATTCTTTGGAGTAGTTTCTTTCCGGTCCACTTTGTGGATTGGAGGAGCTATTGGGGCCTATGAGACCCACTACAAACCCACTTTTGATAATCTGCGCAGTTAATTTGCTTTGATTATGCGTATAGATCATCCATGAAAATAATTAAATTAATTTGAAAATCATAACTTAATGATTTTATCAAATATGTCTATAAAATAAATAAATAAATAAATGAACGACCTATTTTATGATCTTGCAAGCAAATATCACCCAAATACATAATTTTAATTATTAGATTAATTAAATTTTTTATATAAATAATTCACACACATAATTAAATAAAATGAATTGTTTCCCCTCTAGAGAAGCCTCTCCCTATTTTTTCCCCCTATACACATAGCATTAATAAATTTTGCAAGCCAGCCTCGACTGGTAGATTTTTCATAACTCATTGAATTAAATGGGACTGCCTGCCTTAAACCATGATGCAACCTTTGACCAATACTAAGGGCATGTTTGTTTTGAGAGTTAAATTAGATGGAATCTTTAATGTGGAGATTGTTATAGTCAGGAAATTGATAGTGGGAGAATTAAAAAAAATTATGTTTGTTTGTGATATATTATTTACTTTCGTATGTATGTCATTCAAATTTACCCAGCTACTACTGATCACAAATTACTGGGTGAAATTGTTGAAGAAGTCTTCTAGACAGTTTGCTGAAACCCAGACATGGTGGTTTTGCAGCACCATGCATGTATCATAAGGAACCCAAGTTCTGGGTCCACTCAAATGAAGAATGCTCAAAATAATAATGTACTTTTATCGAGAAATTACACCAGAGAAGAACTTGCAAAAATTTAGTTGTAATTGACTTTAACTAATCACATTAACATTCAGATACCTTCCAATCTCTGAAGTCAAATTTGAAAACAAAGTGGCCGTAAGAAACCTTCCCCGAGACAACTTCATTAGCAGCAGGAGCATTCCTTGGTGCTGCCATAAAAAAAAAAAAGTAACATATTTAGTCCAAATAGATGCAGAAGCAGCAAGCACAAATGAAAGCTAGATGAAAATGGATTGCAAGAAAACTTACAAACTATATGCCAGCCTTTCCCATTCACAGTTATTTCAGCCTGGCCATCTTTGACTAGAAAGGATAGAGCAAATACATTTTCGACTGTTTGTGCAAAGAAGTTTCTGTTCAACACTAAACTTTCAAGCCTGACCCTTCTATTTTTCCCTAAAATTTTAAACATAGTTGCCATATTCTTATCGGTGTCTGTTTTCTCTTCGGTACCAGTATCCTCAAGCTGCAAAAAGATAGAAGCTTTCATAAATGGTCAAAATTACAGAAATAAATAAACAAGAATGAACCTGATTAGGATCACAGAAACAAGACAAGAAAATAAAATAGGACAGAGTTACAGTTCACCAAATATATTCCAATTCTAATATAGATGATCATGGAGCAACCTCAATTAAAAACTTTAACAAGACATAGCATGACTTCATTTAAATACAAGCAATGGGACCCTTCTCCTTAGGTGAGGAATCCTAGAAAAGGATTGTTAAACCTAATCTCATAGCAAACTGTGGAGACAAACAGACTCTGTAGTAACTTTAATTAAAACCAAATAAGACAGAATTATTCAAAGCTAATTTGCACAGGCAGTATATTTCCACAAAATACAAACTTTGGAATTCCCCTCGTCTTTGGAAGCAAAATCAGTGTAAATCACAACTTACTAATAAAGTACAAAAATGAAAATACAATGTCCCAAAAGATAAAAACCACAGAAATAGGTCACAACCATCTCCACATTTCCAACTACTAGAAACAAAGCTTAAGTTTTGTGTGATTTAAGTTGGCTTCGCTCCTTAATCCTGTTAGTGACTGTGTTAGATTTTTGTAGTTGGTAATCTTATTTGATAAAACTCCTTTCAGTTGTAATTTTATTTGCTCTTTTGTCTCAGTGAAGTTTTGAGTGTTTAGATGCAACTCTAACCCAAATTTTGCGGAGTTTGTGATCTTAATATTTCCATGTTTGCCACTTCGTTGACTATGTACAAGAATTGAGCTACCCGGTTAGCTCGTGGGGATCCAGGGGGCAACGCTTAGGCGAGGTCGAGGGACAGCGCCCCTGAAGCAAAAAACAAAATTGCAGTCAAAGTTGTTTGACTGCTCGAGTGGTCATTTATGTGCTCGAGCGAAGAAAATGATCATCTAGTACTTTTGTAGAGTGTCTGAACTTCTGGGAAGAAAGTTTTACGACTCGAGCGATCAGCTTATATGTTTTGCACCGCCTTTAGTCACATCGCTCGAGCAGTGAAATGTGTGCTTGAGCGGTCTATGCGATCCTGTTTTCTATAAAGTGCATTGTTCACTGTTTTTAGGGTTAGAGCCATTCAAATTTTCAGAGAGAAAGAAAAACAAAGTATTTTATATTGGAGGCTAGTTTATATGAGTTTTCTTGGTGTATAGAAGGTGATCGATTGATCAACAAACTTCAGATTGTTGAACATCAAGGGTTGTTATTATTGTTTCGTTTACAAAAGAGAGTTGTTCTTCGGTGGATTACGAGAAACTTGAGTCTGAAGCTTTGTTGGATTTTGGAGTGGTTCATCGTCGTGGATTCAACATCAGCGTTGTGGATTCAATATTGGACAAGACAATTCCGAGGTGAAGACAGTGGTGGAAGAGACACATTGGGATTGGTTCAATTCGGGTGTGGATTTACTGGGTAATTGAGAGTACACTTGTGTAATTCATTTTTGTCTTCTTAGTGGATAGTTTTGTGGCTTTGGCCCGTGATTTTTTATCACAGTTGGAGGCACTCCAGTTGTGATTTTTTCACGTTAAATCGTTATGTCAATTTGTTTTTGACTGTTTGATTATGGTTATTATTTATTGTTTAAAAATTGGAACATAATCACAAATCAATATATTAGGAATTTTTATATTTTTCAATTGATATCAAAGCAGGTCACTCAATTTTTTTTAAAAAAACTTTAGGAGCGAGATCCTGTTTGATTTGTGATAATGGATTCAATTCATGAAGGGAATTCTACGGTATGACCATCTCTACTTGATGGATCTAATTATCCTTTTTGGAAAGCTCAGATGAGAACATTTTTGAAATCTATTAATGAAAAAGTTTGACAATCCGTCATGTGTGGGTGGAACGAACCAACGATTACCATTAATGGAGTAACTTTCCCCAAACTAATGGATAAATGGGACACAACTGATTACCAAAATAGTAGCTGAAATAGTAAAGCTATCAATTCTCTTTTTTGCGTCGTCACACCAGAAGAGTTTACTTGTGATGTCTCAGGTTTTGGGCTTGAATAGTATTGTGTAGTGGGGTTGTATGCATTTCTTTCGGTGTTTTGTTTATCATATCGAGTCATTCAGATTCCTTTGCTACTCCTAGGGTGTGTTTGTTTGGACGGACTGGATAATGGGGGGATTGTAATCCATCAGATTGTTAGTCCTGGGATACATTGTCCCCGGATTATTTGGTTGAACTGGATTTGTATCCTATGTTTGTTTAGTCATAGGATTAGATGTCTGGATTGGACTATTTTTAGTGAATCCAATATTTTGTTTGATGGATTGGATAAGGATAAATGTTCAAATGACTATTTTACCCTTGTAATTTATAATTTTTATTTAATATATAATTTTAAATTTGTAATTATTTGGAATGTAGATATAATTTTAAAAATTTTAAAAATATTTTTTTGACATTTATTTTTGTCAAATTAGTTTATATTTTATCAAATTAAAGATTTTACCCTTGAAATTAAACAATGATATCTTCAACTGTCCTTATTTAAAACATGATTCAAAATTCAGAGTCAAATGTGTCATAATTAAAAAATCAAGGACCAAAGTGATATGAACCCCAAACTATAGGGACTATTAGTGTAATTTGCCTTTTAATTTTTTAACAACACTAAAAAAATTATAAGGCCATAATTTTTAATTTATTATTTTTAATTAAATTAAATTTATAATTTATATTTTTTATTTAATATATAATTTTAAATTAACAACACTAAAAAAATAATTTATAAATGTTTAAAAGACTATTTTACCCTTTTCCAATTGTTTATTAAGTAATAGCATAAGGGTAAAATGAACATTTCACACATTAGTCTCATAGGATACTAATCCCATGGCAATAATCACACTCTCTCCCTAGGATACAATAATCCCTTATATGAGGGACTAATAGTCCGAAGGGACTATTAATTCGGAGCAAAAAAATTGAACCAAACAATGGACTATTAGTCTGGATGGACTAATAGTCCAATCCCATGGAATAATCTCTCAAAACAAACACACTCCTACTTAACATTTCTTAACTTTTCGGGTTGAAAATTTTGAGTTTGGGCTTTGGAACTTGTTTCGAAATACAAAATCAAACTCTGGTTTTTGGGCAAAACCGCTTGTGCAGAATTGGGAACCACCCAAGCAAATCATCACAGAAGCTTTTGGGTTTTCTAGGCAGAAAATTGCTCGAGCGGATTTTGGGTCCTGCTTGAGCAAATTTTGGTAAATTTTTCTGGGCAACTCTCTGGAGCAATCCGCCCAAGGGGCAAAAATTTATGTTCGTGCAGAATTGAAATCGCTCGGGTGGATTTCGGCGTGTCTGTCTCGAAATTTGTGTTCTTTTTCTCAAAACTAATGCCAAAAGGTGTTTGGCACAGATATTTCTCTTCTCTCTATCTATCTCTCTCTCTCTCTCTCTTTCTCTCTCTCTCTCTCTCTATATATATTAATCTTTTCTCCCATTTCTCTCTAAAAATTGTCACGACCCAAATCCCCCTATGGGTTTAGCACCGTAACCGGCCAGTAATTCGTGATTACCGAAGGCCTGCTTAACAGTAACAACAGTAATACAGAGTACAGGGGTTGGCGGAAGCCAAAACAGTAAATGAAAGATGTCCAATGAGCTGTGACAATCTGTATGCAAAAAGACTTTTCATAACACATTCAAATTCGGAACAAAAGCAGTATGCACATACATCATATACATGCATTCAGGTTAGGGACCAAATCCCTACCATGACAGTACAGTACAAGTCTATACAGTATTACAAAACAGAGACAGAAGGGTGAACTGAGACACCCCAAACGAGCCTAAGCTTGAACACACTTGGAACCTCACAGTGAGGCACGTTGGTTGGCTTGACAAAATGGGAGTTTAACCCAACGCTCCTAGCTTCGATCCGGTGCCTGGACACCTACATATATATATAAACAGTGAGTTAAAGCCCAGTGAATAACATATGTGTACAGAGGTTAAGAATGAATGTCCTTTCAGTATTTAAAGCAGTCAGTTATAACAGTATATCAGTCATAGCAGTCATATGTGGTACATCCCATAGCAAAACAGTACAATAGGTCTTAACAGACCGAACAGTCAGTTGATGGCCATCATATCAGTAAACAATAGTGGTTCCAACATGGGAACCGACAGAGATCTCTGTAACAGTACAGTAACAGTAAATTGCTATGGATGCCACGAATACAGTTCACAAATAGGATAAACAATCATTCAGTAAGAAATATCATTTCAGAAAGCAGTACAGTTGGTCATTCAGAAAATATTCATGATTGAATATATCTTTACAACATTGTTACTCAGAGAGCACTGGGCTACAGATAGGCTAGAGCGTCCTCGGATGCCAACCCTACACAGTTACAGAATGAACACACACTAAGTTACACACTTAGGAATCAATGACTTAGTCCCTAACTTGACTCGGTGTGGTTCTACAACATTGTCCTCATTAAGATGCCTTAAACTAGGCCTAGGAATGCTTAGGATGGAATGAGGATGCAAAGATGCACTTTAAAACACTTTTCAAAATTTTCAGAAAATAGGGGTCTCGCTCGAGCGTGGCTTTCTACGCTCGAGCGGACATGCAGACAAAAGATCTCTGCTCGAGCGTGACTTCCTTTGCTCGAGCGGACTGCAAACTCAGGTAAAAGTACTGGATGCATGCAATTTATGCTCGATGGGCGCTCGACCTCCGCTCGAGCGTGATACACAAGTCCTCGCTCGAGCGTGCATTCCCTCGCTCGAGCGGATTGTAAACATGTGAAAAGTACTGGATACACGCATTTCACGCTCGAGCGTTACTTTCTCCGCTCGAGCGGACTGCATGTGCTCAGAGTGTACGCTCGAGCGTGAAGTCTTACGCTCGAGCGTGGGTCCAAAATCTGGAATTTCCAGATTGAACCTCCAGGCTCAAATTCAACATTTCAAACATCAAATCCGATCCTTTTGGGCTAATTTTCTGGAAAACACTTTAAAACTCATAATATGACATGTTTCAAAGATCAATTTGCAAAAATCAAAGCCCAAAGGTAGTTCAATTAAACACAAATCCAAACAAAA